GGGGTGGGGTGGGGTGAGGGAGATCCCAGTACCTCCTGGATCCAGGGCCCCATGTTGGGGGAGCACTCATAAAGACAGTTGTCCTGGATGAAGTGGCGCTTGCAGATGGGCTCCATCTTGCCACAGTGGTCCCAGTTAAAGTTATACAGGAGGGAGGTGTCCTTGTGCAGCTCCTGGCTGGTGCTGACAGAGCAGCAGGCGTTCTTCCTCCAGGGAGTGCACTGGGTGGGGAGAACTCAGCACTAAGTCGCTCTCCCACCACAAACTTCCGCCACCTCCATCCTCTGCCCATTTGGTGCTCACTCTCCAGCCCCAGGTAGGTTGCCCTAGAAAGGCTCACTGTGAGGACCTCTCTGTCCTTGGCCTTCAGGAACGCCCATCTTGGGGGACACTCAATTGCAACAGTGTGATCAGGGGTTTGTGGGAGCCTGGGAGAAACTCTGTCTTGGGAGGACAATAAACTATCATATATATACCCCTTAACACTTTATAAAAAGTTCTTAAATTTATTCATTAAAAAATTATTATTGAGTAGTTATTCTATGCCAGCTACTGTTCTAGACATAATACAACAGACAACAAAACAGGCCCTAGCTAGTTTGGCTCAGTGGTTAGAGTGTCGGTCCNTATTCTATGCCAGCTACTGTTCTAGACATAATACAACAGACAACAAAACAGGCCCTAGCTAGTTTGGCTCAGTGGTTAGAGTGTCGGTCCGTGGACTGAAGGGTCCTGGGTTTGATTCCAGCCAAGGGCACATACCTCAGTTGCAGGCTCGATCCCTCGCCCCAGTCAGGGCATGTGCAGGAGGCAACCAATCAGTGTGTCTCTCTCACATTGATGTTTCCCTCTCTCTCCCTCCCACTCTCTCTGTAAAGCAATGGGAAAAATATCCTCAAGTGAGGATTCAAAACAAAACAAAACAGACAGGAATATGTGTTCTGGTCAGGGGAGACAGACAGTAGGACACTAAAAGAGAAAAAATATGGTATGTAAGGATATGATCAATTATATAGGACCGTTTACAGCAGGGAATGGGTATGTGGAGAATGGGATGAGTGTTGAAATTTTAAATAAGTTGATCTGAAAAGCCTCATTGCAAGGTGACATTTTGAGAAAAGAAGGAGAGAGCCTTGGCTGGGTAGCTCAGTTGGTTAGAGCATCACTCTGGTATGCCAAGGTTGTGGGTTTGATTCCCAGTCAGTGTTGCTCAGTGGTTGAGCATCAACCCATGCACCAAGAGGTCGCCGGTTTGATTCCCCAGTCAGGTCACATGCCCAGGTTTCGGGCTCAATCCCCAGTGTGGGGGCGTGCAGGAGACAGCCAATCAATGCGCATTCTCTCCCACTGATATTTCTCTCTCTCTCTCTCTCTCCCTTCCTCTCTCTCTAAAAATCAATAAAAACATTTAAAAAAAAGAATTAACCAATGAATGCATATATAAGTGAAAAAACGGATCGATATTTCTCTCTCTCCCTTTCTCTCTCTAACATCAATAAATTTTTTTAAAAAAAGGAGCCCGGCCGGCGTGGCTTAGCGGTTGAGCATCGACCTACGATCCAGGAGATCGGGGTTCAGTTCTGGGTTAGGGCATATGCCCCAGTTGCAGGCTCAATCCCCAGTCTGGGGGGTGCAGGAGGCAGCCGATCAATGATGACTCTTTCATCATTGATGTTTCTCTCTCTCTGACATCAATAAAGATATGTTTATGAAAAAATAATTTAAAAAAATTTTTTTAATTAAAAATAAAAATAATAAAAAAGAAGGAAAGAAAATAAGCAATGCAATAACACATTGTTGAATCCTTATTTTTGGCAAGTATTAAGATCTGTGTTCCCCCCAGTGGCTAGGCCAGTACCAGACACATAGTAGGCCCACAGAAACATTTGCTTTAAAAAGTAAAAGTAAGTGAAAAACATATTTATGATTTCCTAACCTAAACCAAACTACATCCTACATATGGGCACAGCATAGTTTAGCATGTTTTCAATATATACCCAATTTTCCAGGACAACAAAAACCATGAAATGGAAAGCTGTACTATATGTTTTGTATTACTGGAGTTAATCACTTTTGTAGAAAATTGTGTCATCAATGGCAACACTACTTAGAGTATTGTATAGCATTTAAGTTGCTAATAGAATGCACTGTACAAATCTTCATTTGTAGCTGCTCCATTCATGTGCTGTTGCACAATGACTTCTAATGCAGCCATACCAGAGAACCGACATATTGAAATGTAGATATTTTATTATAAATTACTTTCTTTTTGCTTCTGCTTTGTGTTACAGGTAGTTATGTTGACATTTTTTAAATTAAATGTGCAAATAGACTCTATTAGCTTTGAACTTCATTCCAGGATAGAAAAGAGAGTCTAAACAATACTTGTCATAAAAAGGAGCTATGGAGACTAATAGGGTTGCAACCAAGTAGCATAAATTTTTATAGAATGTGTGAAAGTACAACACCTCTACCCCATGTCACAGTCATAAGGGGCCTTCTCCTTTGCTCTAGCACTCCATGGGACTGGCATATAGTCAAAGTAGGAAAAGCCATCCTCCCCCAAACCCCTAGAGGTGTCCAGCCCCGTCCTACACCAATCCCTACCCCACGACGAGGGCTGGTGATGCCCAGGTCCTCTGTGTGTCCATATATTCCTCTGGGCCTCAGTTTCCTCATTTGTGTCATGTAGAAAATATCATCTACCTACCTCAGAGGACCACTGGAAAAATGAAAGCATGTACAGAAAACACATGACACCTAGTAGGTGCTCAGTAAATGATTGTTCCATATTATTGCTGACATAATATCCCGTTCTGAGGAGGCCACCCTGAAAGTCACCTAAACCACTCCCCGATCTTCGCCTTCTCAGCAATAATCATAATGTGAGGTTTCTGACCCCTTAACCCTTCCCCCACCACCCTAACTTCCTCTTCCATGTGAGAACCTGTCCCCTCCCGCATCAGAGCCACACTCCAGCCATACCTGGTTATGCAGCTGGTCCTCAGGGCCTGGCTTGGCCTTGTGGTGTTTGGCATCCATGCAGACGTTGAGCAGGTCTGTCCTGTCTCTGGCACTGCACGTGGAGGCTGAAAACCAGGCCAGCAACAGCAGAGGTGGCATCAGTTTCCAGGCCATGACTTTCTGTCCCTGTGGAGGAAGCTGTGGTTAGGGAGGACAAGGTGTGAGGGGAGAGACCCCCTGTTTCAGTCTTCCCATCTCCACAGTGAGGGATGGGGTCAGACCCTGTTCCTTCAGTTCTGGGGTCCTGAGGCTGCCTGAGACTGGGGTAGATGACACTGGCAAAGGGGGCTTCCTCACCCAGGCTTAGAGGGCTCAGAAGGGAATCTGGAGTTAGTAGGTGGACCCTGGGGTACAGATCCCAAGTTGAAGAAGATATCTTGCACCCACACCTTCTCTCTGGACTTTACCTAAAAAAGGTAATTAAATAGTTCAGGTCCCCACTTCCTGAAAAGGGCCAGAGACACACAGCACCCTTATCCTGTGTTCAGCAAGTGCCCTGCCCTTAGACCCTGGATCACCTGGGTTCCCATGCCAGCTTAGGAGCCCTGTTTGCCTGGGGAAGGCAGTGGCCCAGCTCTGCTGAGTTCTCCAAGTCAGCCTGAGGATCAAGGGATGTAACACACAGACAGGACCGTGTTTGGTTAAATGATACAGAAATAAAAAGAGTGGTGGGTTTTTTTCTTTTTTCCTTGCCTCAGGTTTATTTGTACAAATAGCATAGGAGGACACCAGCTCCACGTAGACAGCAGCCCGGGGGTCACTCCGGTCCTGTCCTCACATCCGCAGCCAGAGGCCTCTACTGTGGAGCCTTCCTTCGTGGGGGCCTGGGCACCTTTGGGAGCGGGAGCCTGAGCCAGAGCTGTTGCTGCACCTGCACCCGCAGCCTGGGGCTTCGTTGGAGCCTTGGCCTTGCCCTTTGGCCAGGAGAGCCTGAGACCTTTGACAATGCGGGCACAAGCACGTTTCCCAAGGTTGGGGTGAGCAATGTAGGCAGGTCAACTGAACTTGTGGCTGCCGCCCTTTGGGATCCTGGCCTTGACCTCCTTGGGCTTTACAAGGGCTTTGATAGCCTCAGCGCTCGCGCTCATTGGCATTGTTGGCCTGCATCTTCTCAGGCCCTCCTTGTTGTGCTTCTTGGCAAAGTGCATATTCCTTAGGAACTTGGGATCTTCCCCCTTAAGAGATTCATATCTTTGTGATCGGAGTTTCTTGGTGCCATTTCTGTGCCATTTTCAGGACTGGTTGTGCGTGGTATGGTTCTTGGACTTGGCCATCTCTGCACCAAAGCCCATGGCTCCTGAAGCACTTGGGATGGGAAGAGAAAGAGCTCTTTTTTCTTCTTTTAAAATATGTTTTTATTGATTTTTAGAGAGAGGAAGGGAGAGGGAGAAACATCGCTTGCCTGCCTCCAGCACTCCCCCTACTGGGGATCGAGCCCTCTGGACCTTGACCAGAACTGAAAGAGCGAACTCTTGGTGCACAGAAGGCCCAGCCAACTGAGCCAAACTGACCTGGGCAAGAGTGCTGGTTTTTAAAGAGCTTTTTTCCCTCTTTTTCCTTCTCTGTTTCCTGAAAGCCATTTCCTCCCTCCACCCCATCATGACTCTGGCCTCCTCACCTCTCTCTGAGAGCTGGACTAAGGCACCAGATCACCACCTGACTCCTCAGGAAAACAAATGCAGAGACCCTTTGACCAGAAGGATAACACAGCCCTGGCTGGTTTGGCTCAGTGGTTGGGGCGTCGGCCTGTGGACTGAAGGGTCCCAGTTCAGTTGCGGTCCAGGGCCCGTACCTCTGTTGCAGGCACCATGCAAGTGCGGGAAGCAACCAACCGATGTGTCTCTCACATCCATGTTTCTCACTCTCTCTTTCTCCCCCTCCCTTCTACTCTCTCTAAAAAAATCAATGGGAAAAATATTCTAGGCTGAAGATTAACAACAACAAAAAAAGTCTCCCGTGTTAAAGCAGCCTACCAGACAGGAACTGAGTGGCACGGGAGGCACCTGGCAAAAGTGACAGCCCCCTTGTCTGTCCATGACTGCCTGTTCCTTTGGTCTCAGTCACTGAAGTACTAAGAGTTGATAATGAAGACCCATTGTTCTCCCTCACCATTCCCACATGCAGTTGATCACCAAGCCCTGGTAAGGGCCCCTCCAAAAACCTTTCTAGAATTCACTTCCCGTGGCTCTGGTTTGGGGTCAGGTCTTCCCTCCTCCAATTTCTTCCCCTCCAAGTCATCTTCACCACAGGAGCCAGAGTGATCTTTCTAAAGAAAGACATGCCCCTCCCCTACACACAGACCCACCAAGTCTCCCCAGTGCCCCGTCACCCTTCCGTCCTTAGGGAATCTTGCCTGAGCCTCCTTTGCTGCTGGGAGCACACACTGCTGTGTATGGACTGGCTTCTCTCTGGGCTGGTAACAGTTCCAAGACCCTGGACTGTCTCCAGTGGTCCTCAGGGCAGGATAGACTCAAGAGCTCTGAATGTGCTTACACACAGAATGTCCCCTGAGTTCAGCATTTTCTGCTTCTGCTTTTGTTCCATGCCAGACGCCACAACTTTCAAGATTCCTTTAGTCTGTCAAGTCAGCCAATCTTGAGTGATTCCATTTCTTTATTTGTTAATTTACTCATCTCCTAGGGGAATCTGAATGTTTGAGGTTCCCCAAGTGGTTGTTAGGATAAAGCTAACTTGAGGGGTATGAGACCTGGTGGGGAGGAAGCCAGGCTTTAGGGTCAGGCCATGGGACCCAGTAACATCCCTCACACAACCTTGGGAAATGTCACTAAACCTTGCTGAGCTCTTGCTGGCTCACAAGAAAATCATTGAGAATTTATGTGGAAAAGCCTGGCACATACCAAGTAGCTTTAAATGACAACTGTCATGTTAATTTATGAGCAGCGAGGTGGTAGAAGTTGAGGTACAGAAGTCAAGGGTCACAGAAAAAAATTGTCTCAAACCTGATCAAATATAATATCTCACCATATAACATTTCTTTAAACATAATTAAGCAATTTTGGACGACCTTTAAAAAACTGTGGTAAAATACACATTATGTAAAATGTACCATCTTAACCATTTTTAAGGGTATATCCATTAAGTACATTCGTTAAGTACATTGACTGCCTGTTCCTTTGGTCTCAGTCACAGAAGTACTAAGAGTTGATAATGAAGACCCAATAATAATGAGGAACCAATCTCTGGAACTTTTTCACTTTTAACACTGAGACTCTATTCCCATTAAGCAACAACTACTTCCCATTTCCTCCTTTCCCAAACCTTAGCAACCACCATTTGACTTGCTGCCTCTATGAATCTGACTACTCTAGATACCTCCTATAAGTGCTAACATGCAGTATTTGTTCATTTGTGATTGGCTTTGTTAACTACATAATATTCGTAAAGTTCACCCATATATCGGAATTTCTTTTCATAGCTGGATAATATTTCATTGTATGTATATAGCATATTTCATTTATTCATTTACTCATCAGTGAACACTTGAGTGGCTTCCACCTCTTGGTACTGTGAAGACTGCTGCTATAAACATGAGTGGACAGATATCTCTACAGGACTCTGCCTTCAGATCTTTTAGGTACATACCCAGAATTGGAAGCGCTGGCTCATATGGTAATTCTATTTTTAATATTTAAGGAACTGTCATACTGTTTTCCATAGCAGCTGCAGAATTTTACATTCTCATCAACAGTGTACAAGAGTTGTAATTTCACCCTGGCAGGTGTGGCTTAGTTGGTTGAGTGTTGTCCCATGCACCAAGAGGTCCCTGCCTTGATTCCGGTCAGGGCACATGCCTGGATTGTGGGCTCCATCCCCAGTAGGGGGCGTGCAGGAGGCAGGTGATTGATGGTTCGCTTCTCTCATCGATGTTTCTATCTCTCTCCCTCTCCCATCCTCTTTCTCTCTCAAATCAATAAAACATATATATATATATATTTAAAAAGAGTTTCAATTCCTTCCCATCCTTGCCAACACTTGTTACTTTCTGTTGGGTTTTCTCGATAAAATAGAAGCCATCCTAGTAGATGTCAGGTGAAATCTCCCTGTGGTTTTAATTGGCATTTCCCTAATGATTAGTGATATTGAGCAACTTTTCATATTCTTGTTGGTCATTTGTATATGTTCTTTGGACTTCAAGTCTTTTTCCCACTTTTAAATCAGGTTATATATTTTTTGTTGTCGAGCTGAAGGATTAGCCCCTTATTAGATATATGACTTGCAAATATTCCTCCTGTTCTATAGGTTGCCTTTTCACTTTAATTGTTCATTGATGCACAGAAGTTTTAAATTTTGATGTAATTCAGTTTATCTCTTTTGTTGTTGTTGTTGCCTGTGCCTTTGTTCTCTTATCCAAGATATCATTGCTTAATACAATATTATAAAGCTCTTCGCCTGTGTTTCTTAAGGAGCTTTAATGGTTTTAGCTCTTATGATTAGGTCTTTGATCCATTTTGAGTTAAATTTTGTATATGGAGTAAAATAAGTGTCCAATATAATTTTTTTGCATGTGAATATCCAATTGTGTCCCAGCACCATATTTTGAAAATACTATTCTTTGAATTGTCATTTATTTCATCAAATTGTCTTGACATCATTGTCAAAACTCTGGACTCTGTGTTCTGTGCTATTGATGTGTACATCTGTCCTTATGCTACTCCCACACTGTCTTGATTATTGTAGCTTTGTAATAAGTTTTGCAATTGGAAAGTGCGAATCCTCCAATTTGATGTTTGCTTAGGACTGTTTGGGCTATTATGGGTCTCTTGCATATTCATATAGATTTTAGGCTCATATTGTCTGTTTCTCAAAAAAAAAGTCAGCTGGAATTTTGGTAAGGATTGATATGAATTTGTAGAGCAATTTGGAGAGAATTGCCTCTTAACGAAAGTGTCTTCTGATTGATGAACATGGAATGCCTTTCTATTTGTTCGGTTTTTAATTTCTTTCAACAGTGTATAGTTTTCAGCGTACAAGTCTTTCAGTTTGTTAAATGTATCGCAGTGTGTTTTGTTCTTTTATGTGCTATTGTGAATGGGATTCTAATCTTAAATTCATCGTTGTATTGTTTATTGGTAGTGTACAGAAAAAAAATTTTTTTTAACAATTAAGCCATGTGTCTGCTTCTTTATTGCCCCATCTCTATTCCCCGTCACTACAGCAGGAACCAGCACCATCTCTACTCCCTTCCACCTGGACATGCCAGAGCAGGAACCTCCTCCCCCCACCCTGGGGCCCTGACTGAGTCATTCTCTATCCCCCTTCCTCTGTCCCCCACCCAGCACTGGGGTCCCAGGCTACAGTCCCAGCCAGGCTGGGGGAGGGAGGCAGCCATAAGCCACTAGTCCCTTACACTGTCCAGGCTCTGTCTTCTTAAGGCCAAAAGGGAAGTGGGGAGATGGGAGGACAGGGCAAGACTTTGGCCCAAAATAGTAAGTAGCTAGAAATTGTTAAAGGAAGAATCTCAGCAAATGATTGCTTAATAGTACATACACAGGACAGTGCACAATAAATATCGCATGTCAGCCTGAAAGCCTCTGCCCCAATTCCTTTCTAAGGACTGGGTCTACCAACCATGCCTTTCCATGGAAACACAAACCCTGCCTCAAGAAGTTGCATCTGCAGAGGAATGGGGAATGATTAAAAGTCACACCAGCAGGCTGGCTCAGAAGGACCCTGAGGTTAGGTGGATGAACAGAAACACAGAATGGACTCTAGTAGCCAGCTCAGCCCTACTACTCCTATTTACTCCTGTGAGGAGCCTTTGCATTCCAGTAGAAGAGAAGCTGGGCAGCAATGAAGCCGTTACAGAGGGAAGAGACCACAGAGGTTCCAGCCATGAGGGGATGTCCAGTTTCCTAAACGGGGGTGAAGATTCAGGGCAGGGAGCCCTCAAAGAGCAAAAAGACTGTGATGGCTGAGAGCTGGCCTGTGTGCCCGTTTCAGTAATTGGTGGCTGCCTGGAGCAGCTTCCCCACCACCACAGATGGTATATTGGAGACCTGGAGAAGGGTGATTACTGCCAGCAGCGTCAGTGGTGAAAGCAGGACCAGCAGGACCAGGGTGTAACCTGCTAGGAGAGCCACACTCTTCACAGTTCGTCCTCTGTAGTGTAGGAACAGGAAGCAGATGGTGATTTTCTGGAGCATCAGGAATAGAGCTTCACCCCAAGAGCCGAAGGGGAATTTGTTTACAATGCCGTAGACTGTGGTCCCAGCGAATGCCACTAGTTCCAGTATTACTGACTGGAGGCTCAGCCCTTCAGCACTCTTGGCTCCAAGGATCTTAAATACCTGGGACAGTTTTACCTGTAGTGATCCAGCTACCATGCCCAGCCCCAGGCCTTCGGGGAGAATCTTTAGGCAGGGCATGTGAAGCAACCCCACTCGACAAAAATTTGGTTGTAGCATTTCTCAGGTAGAAGAATCGGCACCAGCAACTGTATGAGCAGCCCGTCAGCTTCAGCCATCATATCGTAAAGGTCAGACATACAATTTATTTTTATATATAGATCTGGTGTCCTATAAAGTTGCTGAACTCATCTATTAGTGATATAACGTTTTGTAGGTTCCTTAGGAATTTTGCATACAATGTCATGCCATCTGTGAATAAAAATCATTTTATTTCTTGTTTTCAATCTGGATAACTTTTATTTCTTTTTCTTGAATAATAGCCCTAGCTACAACCTTCAGTAACATGTTGAATAAACATGATGAGAATGGTTATATGTGTCTTATTCCTGATTTTAAGGGAAAGGCTTTTGGCATTATGTATGATGTTAGTGGTGGATTTCTCATAGATGTTCTTTATCAGGTTGGGAAAATTTTCTTTTTTTCCTAATTTGTTTACTATTTATTTTGTTTTTTATCATGAAAGGGTTTGGGATTTGTCAAATGATATTTCTGAATCAGTTGAGATGATCATGTAGGTTTTGCCCTTGATTCTAGTCATATGGTATTTTATCACATTAATTGACTTTTGGGTGTTAAACCAACTTGCATTCCTGAGATGAATCCCACTTGGTTATGGTGTATAATGTCTTTGACATGTTGCTGATTCAGTTTGCTAGTATTTTTGTAGAGGGGACTTATAAATTAATTCAAAAGGGATATGGAGGTGTAGTTTTCTTTTCTTGTGATGTGGGCCTACTTTTGGGCTCTCCATTCTGTTCCATTAATCTATTTGTTTATTTTTTTGCCAATACCCACTGTTTTGATGACTATGTCTTTCTAGTAAGTCTTGAAGTCAGGTAGTGTCAGTCCTCCAACTTTGTTTTTTCTCTTTCGATATTGTGTTGGCTACTCTGGGTTTATACAAACTGTAGAATCAGTTTGTTAATATCTACAAAATAACTTAATGGGATTTTGATTGGGATCACATTGAATCTATAGATCAAGTTGGGAATAACTGACATCATGACAATACTGAATCTCCTTATTCATGAACATGAACTATCTTGTACATATTTTGTTAGATTTATACCTAAGTTTCATTTTTCTGGATGCCAATGCAAATGATAATGTTTTGTTGTTGTTTTTTATTTCAAATCCCACTATGTTGTTAGTATATGGAAAGGCAATTGACTTTTCTATATTAACCTGTATCCTGCAATCTTGCTATAATCACTTATTAGTTCCAGGAAATTTTTTGTCAATTCTTTTGGATTTTCTACATAGAAGAACATGTCACCTATGAACAAAGATAACATTATTTCTTCCTTCCCAATCTGTATATTTTTTATTTCTTTCCTTAATTTATTGTATTAGCTGGAACTTCCAGTACGCTATTGAAAGGGGTGGAAGAGGTGGTATCCTTGCCTTGTACCTGATTTTAGTGGGAAAGTTTCCAGTTTCTTATCATTATGATTAGGATTTTTTTTTTTTTTTTATCAAGTTGAGGAAGTTCTAGTAAAAATTTTAAAAAATATATCTTTATTGATTTAAGAGAGAAGGGAGAGGGAGAGAGATAGAAACATCAACGATGAGAGAGTCATTGATCAGCTGCCTCTTGCACACCCCCGACTGGGGATCAAGCCTGAAACCTGGGCATGTGCCCTGATGAGGAATTGAGCCTCGATCTCCTGGATCATAGGTGGATGCTCAACTGCTGAGCCATGCCGGGTGGGCCTCTAGTAAAATTTTAAGTGTAATTATTATACTGTTCTACTCCAGAATTTCTATTTGATTTTTTAAAAATAATTTATCTCTTTTTATTGATATTCTCTTTTTGGTTAGACATCATTTTTATATTTTCCCTGGATCCTTTAGACATAGTTGCCTCTAGTTCACTTTTATAAAAGATGATTTTAAAACTTTGTCCAATAAATTCAATATCAGGGACAATATTTGTTGATTACATTTTTTTCTCCTGTGTATGGACCATACTCTCCTGTTTCTTTGCATGTCTCATCGTGTTGGGGAATGGTGTAAAACTGCTAATTTTAAATGATATAATATGGCATCTCTGGAAATTAGATACTCCCATGGCTCGTATTTGTTGCTGTTTATTTGTTTATTGACTTTCAAGGACTAATTCTATAAAGCCTGCTTTCTTTGTGATGTGTGGTCACTGATGTTTCTGCCATTTAGCTTAGTAGTTAGCTAATAAGTGGACAGAGATTTCCTTAAATGCCTTCTGCTCTTTGCCATGGACTCTGTGTGTTGGTTCAGGCAAACCTTC